CTCTCTCTCTCTCTCTCTCTCTCTCTCTCTCAAAAGTAAATAATAATAAAACATTTAAAAATTAAAAAAAAAGAAATGAGCTCTCATTTAAATGCTTAATAACACATTCTTTAATTAACACATACATATAGCACCTAATTTCATGTCACGATTAATGTGTCATGCTGCAGGTTCAATGCTGTGGCTAGGACTTGTGGGGAATTCTTACCCTTGAAGAATTTACAGTATAATTGAGAAGTCAAGATTTTAGGCAATACAAGTGATTCCCAAACCCAAAGTAATCCCTCTTTTGATAGTCCATAGCATTTTATTTGGACTTTCGTGATAATTATATTTTGGCCTGTAAGCTCTTGTATGTACGTACCACGAACTCTTAACTCATTGCAAAATGCTATAGACATGTGCTCAATAAACAGTAATTGACAGACTACATAAGAACCTATAGGTAAGTGTGGAAGGTGTTTGCCATTCAGCAATGATTATAGTATGTATTTTCTAGGATGAACTCAACATCATAAATCCTTTAACAACTGAATGTGAAGCAGTACAGTATAGTAATTAGAGCATGGTTTCTGGATTTAGTCTGCTTGGATTTGAATCCTAGTTTTGCCAGTTATTAGCCGTGTGACCGTAAATAAATTACTCACTTAATTTCTCTGTGGCCCAACCTCATATGTAAAAGTAGGGTATTACTCTTGTTTGTGGTGAAGAGTAATTGAGTTAATATATGCAAAATGTTTACGAAATTGCCTGGCACTTGGTAAACATTTCTAAGTATAAGCTATTGTTATTATTAAACTGGTGCCTCTTTCCCGAAAGGACCGACAAGAAACGTCTTTGTCAGTACATGTGTCTTTTGCTTCAATAAACAGTAGTCATTATGTTTGTTCAATAAACACAGTAGTCATTAATCTCTAGTTTGACAGAATTTTCTTCAGGTTCAGGCTGAGAAAACTAGGGCTGTTTAAGGTTACACAGCGTATTGAGGTCAGATCCAGATCCAGAAACTATTCATTTTTGGTCTTTTCGTGATCAGAGAAAAACACTTGTCTCCGCAGGGCAACACCTTTTTTAGGGGATGGAAACAAGGTGCAGCAACGTCCCAATCTTGCAAGAATGCGGCAACTCCTTGCGCCCGGAACACCTCGAGCGCAGGCGCAGCTCCCGCTCCGGCGCTCTCTGGCGCGTGACAGCCGTGCGTTCCACCCTACCCCCAACGCCTCTTAGTGCGCACGCGCGCAGTCTGTACTCTCCCCCTGCCCTCCTCCCCTCAACGCGCACGTGCGCGTTCGCGCCGCTCACACTTCGGCTGAGGGCGCGCGCCCTGGAAAATTCCACACCCAAGCTAGCTCCACCCTTTGCGCCCTTTCTTCAGCCCCCGGCTCTTCACTCCTAGTCCCCATCCCAGCGGCCTTTGCGGGAACAAAATGGCAGCCCCCACGCTGCGGGGTTTGTGTTGTTTATCCAGAGCTTTAGGATGGTGGTCTCGGCAGGTGGGTAGGGACTGGATGAGTAGGACTCCTGGGGCCGGATGAGGACCACACAGTCGAGGGGGATACTCGCTTTGCACTTGTCGTTGGTGGGCTTGGGCGATACCAGTCACACCTAGCTACGAAAGAGTTTGAGGTAGACGCGACCCAACGACTAAGCTAAGTGGCGGGGTGGGGCGAGCCCGGGTTAGGCCACGGAGACGGGCAAGTTCTCGGAGATGAACTTTCTCCAGTTTGTTCTGCGTCTGTTTGGCGGGGTGGGGGGTATTAAAGGGTAAAGAAGTAATGATTTGGAAGTTGGGCTCGCTACCCCCTTGGTTCTTATAAATACCTTACGTTGAACAGTAGCTGGGAAGGAGGGAGTCTCCCGTTGTCCGTCTGACTGAACAAACCTCACGGTCATAGAGAAAAGAGATCTGGCCTCTAAAGAGGTTACTGATCATTTGGGAGCCAGAATGACAGAACAAAGTTTACAGTTAGCCTCCCAGTGGAATGAGCAGTATGTTATCTGAGTAAATATAAAGGAGATGCCAAGAACAGGACTTTTCTTAGGCTTTAATAATAGCATTCCTCTCATTTCAGTGTTGGGTTGATGTTTAAGTTTCCTATGGGATTGAAGGTTCTTTGAGAGCAGAAGTCTTGCTTTAATCAACCCTGCATCCCTGGGACTTGGCATAGTCGTGTGCTAGGGGAAAGCCTTTAGTAAATATTGAGTGCTAATAAAGGTTGCTTACAGGCTTCTGGTTAAGACACCCATAAGTGGTCCCTGCCCTGGTATGTGGCTTTATAATTGTTTCTAAGTCATTCTTTGAATATGTCCTTTCTATCTTTGCTTAGAGTTTGTTCAAGATAGATGTCTTTCCAGGTTACCTTCATCCTACCTTTTTTCCTGTCTTGCAGCCAGTCCTGGTGACTCAGTCCACAGTTGTAGTTCCAGTGAGAACTAAAAAACGTTTCACACCACCTACTTATGAACCCAAATACAAATCAGAAAAGGAGTTTATAGAACATGCCCGGAAAGCGGGACTGGTCATTCCTCCGGAGCGTTTGGAGCGTCCTCTGCACCTGGCCTGTACAGGTGAGGCCTGGTCTTTCTGAGACCCTGACCAAATCTCCGGTCAGAGATATTCTGGAAAGTGGAATGATTTGGACTGTGATTCATTGTATTTAACTGACTACAAAATCAGTTCAGCCCTGATAATGATTTACTTTATGTACACTATATTTTATGAGGTCATCTTTGATCTTGTTTTCACACTGTTCCTAGAAGTCAAGGGTGAAGTTGCTCTATTTTGTACAAGAAGAAATTGAGGCTCTGAGAGAAAACTTAAATTATCTTATTTTTTTTCTTTTAATTTTGTTTTTTTTTAATGTTTTTATTTATTTTTGAGAGTCAGAGACAGACAGAGCGTGAGTTGGGAAGGGGCAGAGAGAGAGGGAGACACAGAATCCGAAGCAGGCTCCAGGCTCTGAGCTGTCAGCACAGAGCCCGACGTGGGGCTCGAACCCATGAACTGTGAGATCATGACCTAAGCTGAAGTTAGTTGCATGCTTAACCGACTGAGCCACTCAGGTGCCCCAGTTTGTTTATTTTGAAAGAGAGAGCGAGAGCGCGCGCAAGCAGGGGAGGAGCAGAGGGAGAGAGAGAATCCCAAGCAGGCTCCTCGCAGTCAGTGTGGAGCCTTATGTGGGACTTGAACCCACAAACTGAGATCATGACCTGAGCCGAAACCAAGAGTTAGAGGCTTAACTGACTGAGCCACCCAGGTGCCTCTTACTCTGTTTTTTCTAATGTAACATAGTTCCCTCTACACGGAAGTCTACTTTATGTCCATGATACTTCTCAATTTTATATGACCTCAAGATGACTTTTTTTTTTAAGCTTTTGATGCCTTGTTTTCTTCTTTCATTACAGCTGGTATCTTTGACGCCTATGTTCCTCCAGAGGGTGATGCTCGCTTGTCCTCTCTCTCGAAGGAAGGACTGGCACAGAGAAGTGAGCGGTTGAAGAAGAAGGTGACCTCCCAATTGTCGTAGGTGTCGGAGACAACTGGGAATCGATATTAGAATACAAATTTCTTGTTGCTGCTTTATTCCAGAGAGGCCGTTGTAGGTTAACTGGGTTGGACATAACTCCCTTGATGACTTGACAGTGTATTTTTTTCTGTAATAGAATTTAGTTAATGTTGAAGAATACGGGCATTTTGATTTCTTAGCATCTCAACCTTTATTGGTATTTTTTGTCACATCAGTTAGGGAGTGACTTAGAAGTTTGTAGAACACTTTTTTGATCACATATTTTAAATTTTAAAGTAATAATAAAAGCATCTTTCTTTGAGAAGTACCTTAGAGTTGGAACTACAGAGAGTAAAAAGTCAAAAAGGGTCAAGAAGACAGACCTGGCCTATGGAGGTAGCTAGGTCTTAACTAAGGAGCAGAAGCCAAAACCTTCTTAGTCTTTCTTTTAATTGAAAGGATGGAAACATTTATATTTGTCACTCTAAAGTTCTTTAGGGTCATTTATAAATTTCTGTGCACAGGCTTATTGAGTCATTGTTAATACTTCACGTGGCCATAATTTACTTCTCTAAATTCACATCTTATCACACCACCTTTCTGTTAAAACTCTTTTATGTTTCCTTATTACCTGTAATAAAATCCAGACTTCTTCAGTGGTATTCAAGGCTTTTTGTAAATCTGGTTCTTGCTTAACCTTTCTACTGTAATCTTACTCCATTTTTCTCATCCTAAACTTCACCGTTTCCAAACTAATTGCCAGTTCCTTGACGGTACTGTGCTATGACTCTGTGTTTTTGCACATTCTTTCCTTTACCTGAAAAATGCCTTTTTCTTCCTTTACTTGATAACTCCAACTCATTTCTCAAAAATGAGTAGAGCATCGTGTCTGCTTTTAGTCTTTCCCGGACTCTTTTTGGAGCTGCCTTTACTGTAACTGTAACTATACACTTCTAGTAATTGTACTGCGATGGTTTCCTCTCATGTATTTCTCTCTGGGACTGTACTCTCTTTTGTGGTAAGGTCCATGATGATGATGGACAAAACACATGTGATTTTATCATTGAGTTATCATTTAAGGGAGGAAAACAGCCATTAAATACTGATTATACACAGTTAAATAATTATAGGTGTGGTGAAGTAGGGGTGTTATAGGATCATATGACAGGGAAAGATAACTTGGTTTAGGAGCTCAGGGAAAGCTTCCCGCAGGAAATGACATTTAAAGGTGGCGCCTAAAGAACTGCTTGCAGTTAGTTGGGTAGAGGGGCGTGGTGAGGAAGAGCATCCGAGGGAGACAGAACAGCACAAGCAAGGCTCTCAGGTGAAAACAGTGTGAAGTGGGTGTTGGATTTTGTCAAATGCTTATTCTGTGTCTGTTGAGATGATCATGTGATAATATGCTTCTTTAGTCTGTTGACATATTGTGTTACGTTAATGGATGTTTTAATGTTAAGCCAACCTTGCATTCCAGGGATAAATTTCAGTTGGTTATGGTGTCTCTCATCCTTTAGTATGTTCAACACTTTGATTAGATCAGAATTCTCTGTTTACATTATTATAACTATGAGAATATTGTTGACCGCTGAGTCATGCAGTACATTATCATGACTTTTCCTGCCTAATATTTCTTTTCTGGAGTTAAGTGTGAGTGTTTTTTTGTTTTCTGTTTGTTTTTCCTCATTTGCTTACACAACCTCGCATTGTGCAAATTTCTTCTCAATACGTTGAAAACATTAAGTATTTTATCAGTTTCATCTTCAAGAAGAAATCCCTCCAGGAGTTTTCTTACCTGCTTTCAGTCTGGACTGGTTGCTTTATTATTATTATTATTATTATTATTATTATTATTAAATGTTTTCATTTTATTTTGGGGAGAGCGTGAGGGGGTGGGGGACAAAGGATGGATCCAAAGTGGCCTCTGTGCTGACAGCAGAGACCCTGATGCAAGACTTCCAACTCATGAACTGTGAGATCATGACCTGAGCCTAAGTCAGATGC